GAGCTGTCTTGAAAAGTAGAGAGTTTAGAGCGTCTTTGAAGTAGAGAGTTTAGAGCTGTCTTTGAAGTAGAGAGTTTAGAGCTGTCTTTGAAGTAGAGAGTTAAGAGCTGTCTTTGAAGTAGAGAGTTTAGAGCTGTCTTTGAAGTAGAGAGGTTAGAGCTGTCTTTGAAGTAGAGAGGTTAGAGCTGTCTAACAAAGACAATACATGTTCATATCACAAGTTGAGTGTGTGTATGTTCTCTGTATAGGCATATAAACAAATGTAACCTAGCAACATCTTAATAAATTTGATAAGATGCTTTTACTGTATGTGTCATGTCTTGACCTTGGATTCTACATGTGATATCTATATCACAATGTATTTTTGAGCACTGGAGATATATATAATTCATTAATTACTCAAGTCCAATACTGGATTTCAGATTACATGCATAGAATTTTGTTCCTATTTGCACAGAGCTTAGGAAATAGTAGATGTGGGTATTAGAAAAAAACAAAGCACTTGGATCATATCTTTACGCATCTTGCACAAAAAAATAAAAGTTTTCTTTTCAGCCAATTTTTGTCACTCATATTGTTCATCGAATAGACTTGAAGTTACAAGGTAATATTTAAGCTGTATTATCTCTTAAACTCATTTGAAATCATTACCATATGTAGTCAAATGTGCCATGAAATGGAATCAGCAACAGCGGATGTTATAAACTCTCATATAGCATGTATAAATTTAGAAAGAAAAGGACAGGACAACTTGAGAAACAAACCCCCGACTTGATTCTAATTGAATTTTGAATAATTAAGAAGGTCACATTAAAGGAAAAGTCAAAGCTAACAATATAATATGTTTCCCAATTACTGACAACAGAATGATGTCATACTTTACCCTTAATCCTTTGCTTTAGAATCAAGATGGCTGACTACATAATACTGATGACAAGATGAATATCTAGAGAATGAAAAGTGATATAAAAAAACTGCATTCTCCTACATTTGTGGAGCTTTTTCTTGAGGGGTCATTATGTTTTTTGGCTTGACTTTTTCTTTTTAAACAGACGCAAGTTTCACACACAATTCTATGGACTTGTTGATGCCCTAAGCTACTGCTAAAATTTTATCACAGCCAAATGTATATAAATGTTTGCTAAGCCTGATATCTTACAATTACTGTAATTGTTGCATTTGGTATATGACACGTATTATTTCATAAGTTGAATACTAAAAACATACTATATCTCATAATACATCTTTAACATTGCACATCATTTTCATTCCAACATCGGACTTTCCAAAGTTAAAAAAAAAAGTTAAAATTACTGTACAAAAAGCAAAAATGAAAATAATCAAACTTAATTGTCCTGCAAGGGGCATTTATGCAAACACATGTACAGTAATAGAGAAGCTAACAGGAAATGCAAACTGTTATAAAACACCTTTTAAATAATAAATTGACTTCATAGTAGACCTAAATGTACATGCATGTAATAAAAACAATGTTTTAGACTACAACGTAATTCTATTTGCTCATATTGGCGGAACACCTGCAATACCAAGTAATCATATTCCCATTACAGTGGCAAGGGTATGACTAAAGAAATGAAAATGTTTGTATAAGCAATCAAGGCTTTTACTTTGTCAGAAACAAATGTTTGTGAATTTCGCGAATCAGTGACAATTCCGAAATATTATAGCAGTGAAAATTTCGTTAGTGTCTCGTGACATTCAATGTCTGTGACTTTCACGAAATTCTGTCTTCACGATCACCATGAAACCATGGAAATATCTAAAAATAAACGGTTTACATGAATAATCTCTCCATATGTAAGTAATTTTTCATCAACAACTTGATATTATTAATTTATTTATACTGCTTCAATTTCATACATGAGAACTATTCGCGAATGAGTCAGAAAAAAACCTTGAAATTTGAAACAATGAAAACTATGGAACGCAAGTTGCAGTGGTATTTTAATTAGTAAGCTACTACCATGTAGACAGAAAACATCTTTCCAGTCAAACTCTTTAATTCAACTTGTTTGCTATAATTTACACAGTACACATTC